GCTTTGGGGTTTTGATAACGAAGTCATTTGTAAATATCTGCTGCGCTGTCGTAAGTGTTGTGTGAAAATCGCCACGGTGGAGGAGTACACAGTTTTGTTTGAACCTCCAGTCAAGCGTAACGTTTTCTGAAAAATGTTACGTTCAGTTTTAAAAAATGTTCCTTTTAACTAGGTCCTCTTCTTATTTGAACAATATTTATTTGGGTACGGTGGCGTCCACATGCCTTTGCTGAATAACTACTGATAATTTCACAATGGTGTCCGAAGCTGGAAGCCTTATTCATGAATGTGATGAATGAGCATATAGATTTTCACTTTCCTGGGCCGACACTGAAAGCACGGGCTTTTATTTCTAGAAGGAGGCAGATCAAATATGGGAAGAACTTTCAACGGGGCTATGGGATTTCACGATTGTGTCGTGCAAAAGCTGGGAGATGGGCATCCATGTCAACACATGGAGGCCAGGGTAGGAGTCAGTGGAGACTCTGCAGGGTGCTTTCCCATTAACCGCTCTTGTGCGCTATGGAATCCATTTCCAAAAAGTTCGATTTCCTTGTTCTCAAAGTTTTTTTCCTACAAACAAGAGGTTTCCTCCCCCCTACACAGTCCTGCGGTATTTTCTTCGGAATGGCATGCTCCGTAATGTGTCTCCTTCCACTGATAGTTCTAAAACCTTTCTTTTTTTTTCTGCTGAGAGTTTAACCCTCTTGCAGGTTTGAGAGGCGGCGCAGAAAATATTACAACTTTAGTTCAGCATCTCCGACCCTGTTCCAATTTTCCTTCCTTCACACAAATGTAGACTCAAAGCAGACACCTTACCTCTTATTTTGAGACACTCGCGTCCTTTCTCCGACCCCGTTTCCCCTCAGCTATTGGCCTTTTTTATCCGAAGCCAAGGGCAACGTCCTGCTACCCACCCTGGAGCCAGAGCCTTGTTGGTTTCTGTCAGCAAGACAAAAGCTCTTTGGATCCTTGGCGGCTGCTGTGTGGAAACTCTCGCACTACATCAAAACTGAAGATGACAAGCTATTTGCAGAAGCCTTTGGGTGCTGCACTGCGTTTTATAACAGGCAGTCGAGCTCTATGTCTTAAGGAAAGGAGTCTATAAATAAGACAGAGCACTGTACACAGGCAAGACTTTTCTAGATGCCAGGGCTTCAAGCATTTCCCTGCGATGATATATTGTCTGGAAATAATTCATCTGGCATCTGAGGGAGAGAGAGAAATAAACAATCGGTGATTTTGAGCAAATTCATTTCCAGGGTAGATGGCGAGAGTCCGGGTGCTGTTGGGGTAGACTGGTGTTTAGCAGGCTGCTTGTGAGAATGACCTCATCAGTGGAGATGGAGATTAATGGTAATGGAAGACAAACAGTGCGATGTGATGTATTGAAAGTAATCCTGGTGCATACAGAATCCGGAGAGAAAGTTGGTCCTGCAGGCTGTATTAGGATTAACGCGTCTGCATTGCCTCATGTCTCCTTCAGCAGAAGCAGTCTGTGTGCCGGCTCTTTTTTTTCAGACTGGCTAAGAAAACGAGCAGTGCAGCTTGCAGCTCTTATCTCCCTGCCTGGTGTGTAAAGAGATTACAGCCCCCCCAAACCCATCCACCGCTGTCTCTCTTTAATGGCAGACTTTATCCACCTTGTGAATGGCAAGGACATGTAAAAAAGAGAAACAGAATGATATCAGTACAAGCCATCTTTTTTTTTTGCTTAAGCATGGTTAATTAATGAATAGAGGTTATCATTCCAGCCCTTGTCAGTCATCAGACACCCATAGGTTTAGTGTTACAGAGACGGATCTGTGCTTTGAAGTGAGCTCTGTGCACTTCTGTTGAATATTGCAGTTATCTAGTCCGATATGTGGAACAGAGCACAGGCTCTGTGCAGGCAATCTTTGATGCAACGGTTTGCTCTCTGTGGACCAGAGATGATGAAAGCAAAATCTGGTAGATTGTCCATGTGCGCCAGCACTGTATTTTGGGGGTGTGTAGGGATACGCTCGTTCGTTTTAATAAAGCTGGACAGTGTGTGTAACTAATACATGTTCAATTACGTGTAGTGCCTAAAACATAGTATAATATGGTCACAGAAATAGTTTGAGAGACCTTAGGTGTACCTGTGCTTAGTGCTCAGAACCAGAACATACAGTAACCTGTTGTTGCCTGAGCCAAGATTGAAAGGTGTTTGTCCTCTGTGCTTGGGCCAGTGCTGTGCTTGATGAAGAAGCAAACTCACTCCATCATGCTGGGAGTCCAGCCAGTGTGCAGCAGGTCTGCTGGCCTACCGCTCTATGTCACACACGGGAAGCCTGTGTTCATTATGGCTGGAAGGGGACTGGGCCAGATGTCATGGCCTTGATGGGTGTTTGAACCGTTTGCAGCCAGGAACCTGCTGATCAGACAGTGAAATAAGAAAGCGTTCCAGTCGTGACCAATGCAAAGGTCAGCTCCTTCCCTGGCAGTGTGGTCATGGAAACATAGCAGTGCTCAAGACGGGCCAGGCAGGGCACAGACATGGTCAGCACGGCTCTTCACAAACCCCCTGTTTGACTGCGACAGCACCCCTGATGACCCTCAGTGCAGAAGAGGCTGACCAGGACAGAAGCTTATAGGCCTCTCGTAATGCACTCCAGCTGTTGTCCTTTTAAAAGTAGAACTATTCAACACCCACTCATCTGTTTTCAATAACTGCTTAATCCAATACAGTCATGGCGATCCAGAGCAGTGGGGGTAAGGCAGATTACACCCTGAGATGATTCACCAGGCAACAGTTAAATTTCATTTTTGCATAATGCAACCTTCTGCTGATTGTGCTCTTGGGTCGAAATAGAATTTCAGAGTACCTGCCAGAGAGCGGGGTACACTGCGTGGTGTCAGGGCGCAGTGGGTACTTCATA